GCGGCTAGAGAGCTAGTATAGCGTTTAGGGCAGTTGCCTTGCGTGAGGCAACCCAGGTTCAGTTCCCTGTACCCTATATGGTATCCTCAGCACGGCCAGAAGTGCAGAGTCAGGAGTCAGCCCTGAAGATTGCTGCATGTGGCTCCAGAACAAAACCATAAACAACCTGATATGGAGCCAGAGATATATAGTACAGCAGGTAGGACACTTGCATGCAACTGATTGTAGTATCATCTCTGGCATTCCATATATTACCCCTGCGCCACCAGGACTGATCTCTGAGTGCAGAGAACCCCAAGCACAGTGGATGTGGCCTCAAAAAACAACAAAAATAAGATAATACAGATAAAATGGTTCAACTTTATTTAATAGAAATACTGTCGGAGAGCCCGGCAAGCTACGGAGAGTATTCGATATGCCAGACACAGTAACAACAAAGTCTCCAATGGAGACGTTACTGGGCCCGCTCGAGCAAATCGACGATCAACGGGATGGCCTTTACCTTTACCTTTACCTTTACTGTCGATTTGGGGCTGGAGTGATAGCTCAATGGTAGGGCGTTTGCCTTGCATGCAGCTGGCCCGGCCGAGCTGGGTTCGATTTCTCCACCCCTCTCAGAGAGCTCGGCAAGCTACTGAGAGTATCTCGCCCATACAGCAAAGGCTGGCAAGCTACCCGTGATGTATTCAATATGCCAAACAAAGTAGCAATCACGATGAAGACATTACTGGGCCTGCTCAAGCAAATCGATGAACAACAGGAGGACAGTGCTAAAGTGTTATAGGGCTTTACACCCCAAAAAGAAAGAGTACACATTCTTATCCAGTGCACACCAAACATTTTCGAAAATAGACCATGTGCTAGGACACAAAACATACCTGAATAGAATCAGGAAGATAGAAATAGTATCAACCATCTTTTCAGACCACGATGCACTGAGAATAGAAGTGAATCACACACAGACACAGAGAACCAAATCAAACACCTGGAAATTAAACAACTCAATGTTGAACAATGAATGGATCAGAAAGGAAGTCAAGGACGAAATCAAAAGATAACTGGAAACAAATGAGAATAAAGACACGAGCTACCAGAACCTATGGATGCAGCAAATGCCCTACTGCTGTGCTATTGCTCCAGCCCCTTAATGACATATTTAATTTAATTTATTTTTTAAATTTAATTTTATTATTTTAAAAATTTTTTTATTAGTGAAACACCATGAGGTACAGTTGTAGACTTACAATTTTTTGTGCTTGGGTTTCAGTTATACAATGATCGAGTACCCATCCTTCCACCAGTGCCCATTTTCCACCACCACTGATCCCAGTATCCCTCCCACCACCCTACCCCCATCCCACCCTGCCTCTGTGGCATGGCATTCCCTTTTGTTATCTCTCTCCTTTTGGGTGCTGTGGTTTGCAGAGGAGGCATTGAGTGTCAATCGTTCGGTCTATAGTCTATTTTCAACATACATCTCTCATCCTGGGAGGAACCTACCAACACCCTTTATTGGGTGCTCCCTTGTCTATTTCAGCTGCCTTTTCCCCTAGAATGTGCGGCTGGCCTACAAGCCATGGAGTGAACCTCTTGATGCTTATCTCAGCTATTCTTGGGTGTTAGTCTCCTATTTTGTTACTTTATGTTCCCCAGATGAATGCAATATTTCTATGTCTGTCCCTCTCTTTCTAACTCATGGGAAGTATCATGCTAAGGGATTTTCTTTCATGTCACTTTCTTCTCTCTCACTATTTGCGTATAGGAAAGCCATGGACTTTTGGGTATTGATTTTATAACCTTCAACTTTACTATACAAATCTATTGTTCTAAGAGTTACTTTGTAGAGCTTTTAGGGTTCTCTAAGTACATAGTACTATATCATGTGTGAATAGTGGGAGCTTGATTTCTTTCTTTACTACCTGGGTGCCCTTAATATCTTTTTCTTGTCTAATCGCTATTGCAAATACTTCCAATACTAAATTGAACAGCATTGGAGAGTGTGGGCATCCTTGTCTCATCCCTGATCTTAGAGGGAAAACTCTCAGTTATTCCCCATTGAGGATAATGCTTGCTGTAAGCTTGTGGTAGATGGCTTTTACTATATTGAGGAAAGTCCCCTCTATCCCCATTTTGGCAAGAGTTTTTACCATAAATGGGTGCTGGATCTTGTCAAATGCTTTCTCTGCATCTATTGATATGATCATATGTTTTTTTCTTTTGTTGATATGATGGATTATGTTGATTGATTTCCAAATGTTAAACCATCCTGCATCCCCAGGATGAATTTCACTTGGTCATGGTGTATGATCTTTTTGATGAGTTGTTGAATTCTATTTGCTAGTATTTTGTTGAGAATATTTGGATCAGTGTTCATCAGGGATATTGGCCTGTAGTTTTATTTTCTTGTGGTTTCCTTGTTTCCTTTTGCTATTAGAGAGATATGGGCTTCATAGAAACTGTTTGGGAGAGTTTCTGTTTCTTCAATTTCCTGAAAAAGCTTGAAATGTACTGGCAATAATTCCTCTTGTTTGGAAAAATGTTTGGAAAAATTTGCTAGTGAATCCATCAGAACTAGGCTTTTGTTTTTGGGAAGACTTTTGATTACAGTTTCAATTTCCTTGATGTTAATAGGTCTATGCAGGTACTCTATATCTTCTTGATTCAGCTTTGGGAGATGATAGGAATCCAGGAATTTATCCATTTCTTCTAGATTCTCTTCTTTCATTGCATACTGATTTTCAAAGTAGTCTCTGATGTTCTTTTGAATTTCTTGGGTTTCTGTTGTTATATCCCCCTTCTCTTTTCTGATTTGCTTTAATAGGGTTCTCTCATTATTTGTGAGTATTGCTAGTGGTTTATTTATCTTGTTTATTTTCTCAAAAAAAAACAGCTCTTGGTTTCATTGATCTTTCGTATTGTTTTTTTTTTTTTTTGGTTTCCATGTCATTGATTTCTGCTCTACGTTTTATGATATGTTTCCTTCTGTCTGGTGTAGGCTCCTTTTGTTGATCCTTTTCTAAGATCTTGAGCTGTGAAGTCAAGTTGTTTATGTGGGCCCTTTCTTCCTTCCTGAGAAATGCTTGCAGAGCTATAAATTTTCCACTTAACACGGCTAACGTTGCATCCATAGTTCTGGTAGCTTGTGTCTTTATTCTCATTTGTTTCCAGTTATCTTTTGATTTCATCCTTGACTTCCTTTCTGATCCATTCGTTGTTCAACATTGAGTTGTTTAATTTCCAGGTGTTTGATTTGGTTCTTCGTGTCTGTGTGTGATTCACTTCTATTCTCAGTGCATTTTGGTCTGAAAAGAGTATTGATATTATTTCTATCTTCCTGATTCTATTGAGGTACTTTTTGTTCTAGCACATGGTCTATTTTCCAAAATGTTCCGTGTGAACTGGAGAAGAATGTTTATTCTTTCTTTTGGGGTGTAAAGCCCTATATTGGTCTATAAGCCCTCTCTCTTCTATTTCTTCCTTCAAAGCCAGTGTTTCCTTGCTGAGTTTTGTTCTTGTTGATCTTTTCAGATTTAATAAGGTGATGTTGAAGTCTCCAGCAACTATTGTGTAGCTAGCAATGTCCTCCTTTAAATCTATTAGCTGTTGTTTTAAATATTTAGCTATTCCCTCATTAGGTGCATATACATTTAAGAGTGTGATTTCTTCCTGTTGTATGTATCCCTTGACGAATAGAAAATGGCCTTCACTGTACCTTCTAATCTTTTTCAACCTGAAATTGATATTGTCGGATACTAGTATGGCTATCCCAGCTTTTTTGAAGAATCTGTTTGCTTGCAGGATTGCTTTCCATCCTTTTATTTTGAGTCTGTTTTTGCTCTGACCTTTGAGATGAGTTTCTTGTAGGCAGCAGAATGTTGGGTTCTGTCTCTGAATCCATTTTGACACTCTGTGTCTCTTAACTGGTGAATTTAGACCATTGACATTGAGAGAGATTATTGTTATGGGGTTTTGTATCATCTCTCTGTAAGAGTATGTTATGCTTGTAGGGTGTGTCTTGTCTTATAGTAGCCCCTTTAGCCCTTCATGTAGGTTTGGTTTTGAGTCTATGAAGTTCCTGAGCTGCTATTTATTGAGAAAACAGTATAACATTCCTTTGAGTTTGAGTGAGAGTCAAGCTGGATAGAGTATTCTTGATGAAGCATTCATTTCAGTGAGTTTTTTCCACTATATCCCACCATTTGCTTCGGGATTGGAGGGTTTTCTCTGAGACGTCTGCTGTGAATTTATGGGGTACTCCCTTGTATGTGATTTCCTTTGACCTTGCTGCTTGCAGTATTGTGTCTCTATCAGCGGCATCCATCATTCTATCTATGATATGTCTTGGAGTGTTTTTGTTAGGTTCTCTTTTAGCTGGCACCCGTTGGGCTCCTTGAATCTGAATGGCTGCATTGTCCAGCTCTGGGATCTTTTCAGCAATGATTTGTTTAACCGTGACTTTTTCATTGGGATTGTTTCCCTGACCTTCTGGTACTCCTATGATTCTAATGTTATTCCTCTTGGAATCATCTCCTAGAACTCTGGTTTGCTCTAGAGCTATTTTGAGGTCTCTTGCCATTGTTTGTTGTTGCCTGTTGGCTTGATGCAGCTGATCTTCCAGTTCACTGATTCTGTCTTCACCTGTGGTCCTTCTACTGTTGAGGGCACGGACTGAGTTTTTTATTTCACCTACAGAATCTTTCATTCGTGACAATTCTGTGCATAGTTTTCCACTTTCTGCTCTCATTTCTGCCTGTAATTTCTCGATTGTTTCTCTCATGTTACTGGATATCTGTCGTACTGTTTAATTGAGTTCATTGACCATCTTGATTACTTCATATCTGAATTCTTTCTCAGAGAGTTCTTTTTGGTGAGTAGCACCTACTGAGGCTTCTGGACTCTTTTCATTATCCTCCCCACGTGGTGGGCATTTGCGTTGTTTCTTCCTGTTGGTGTGCAGTCATGGGGACTGAGATTTTACACTAAATTTTTTGGTATGACTAAAAAATGTGGAACGCTTCATGATTTTGCATGTTATCTTTGCAAGGGGCCATGCTAATCTTCTCTGTATCATTCCAAGTTAGTATATGTGCTGCTGAAGCGAGCACTAACAACATATTTTATATAACACTTTTACTTGCTTGTTTAAAAAAGAAGCAACTTACGTTTGTATTTGCTTTATTGCTCTACATGAGCCTTTGCTTTCTGCTTGAGACCTTGGTTTTATTCACTTTCTCTGATACAATTCATGGAGAGAAGTATTATAAACAATGACACTCAAGATCACTGGTTATTCCTGCTGCCAAGGAATGTTTATGATCATCAAGTTTTGATGTTGATTTCAACCCTATTAGTTCTTCCACCTTCTTTCATGTGACTTAGTAGCCTTTGCTATCATATATGTGGGGGACGTATTGTATGTGGAAATTTCCAATCTTACACTCCCAATTAAAAGTTAAGTTTGGCTCTTTTTGTTGGAAGTCGTCCTCTCTTCCTCTGATAGCCAATCTCTTGCAACATGTACTGACTTAATCTTTACGATTTTCTACTTTGCACACATAAGCCTAAGTGCTCTCCTCTGTTCTGTTTTTCATCATTAACCTTCCTAAGCTTCTCAAAGTGAATTAATTGATGTCCCTCGAATTCATAATCACTTCATCCAGTTTGTAAAATTTTTTGGCACTGGGATTTATAATGCTGTTCATAATAGGGTTGTATGCATACAGTGTTCCCAAACTGCACCCCTGTCGTCCAGCATCCTATTATTTGATCACAATGTAGTTATATAAGTAGTGTCAAGTATAGCATTAATTAGAAATGAGGACTTTCAAACAATAAAAGAGCTTGAATTAAAGCCAATAAATCATACCTGAAAGGTAAAGAGAGCTGAGTTTTCATATTGCTTCTCAAGATTCCTGACACTCAATTGCGCCTAGAATGTGGTCTTCAGAAAGAGTTTATGTATTGCTTCCAGAACCACCATTAAGCAGCAATCTTTGTTAAGTATTTCAACATGTAACTTATTTTCATCACTTTGTAAAATTATGCTAAACTAAACACACATGTACTCCATTACTGTACAGTTCTATTCTTCAGGGAACCCTAGAAAAATTAATGCATGTATTCACAAAATTATAGAGATAGGAATATTTATAAGACCTCTCTTCATGGTGTACAAAAGTTGGAACCAAGCCAAATGCTCAACAGCAGAATAATTACATTATAGCAATTTATATAGTGGAATACTGCGTAGCAATAAAAAGAGAAAGCTGCGGGTACAAGTAATGAGGATGAAGTTCATATGTTTTATGTTGAGTTATAAAAAATCATACAGAAAAGAGTATGTTATTATCTTTATATTAAATTCCTGTGGAAGATGAAAGACTGTTTAATTGGGGGAGGTTATCATAGTATAGTCAGGTAACAGGAAGGTGGGAACTTTGGAGGTTAGCAGGAATATTTAAAATCTTTATCTTTGTAATAGTTATGGGAAAGGTTTGGGAAATCTGCACTTAACTTTTTGTTTGTTTGGTTTTGGACCACATCTAGCTCCAGCGGTACTGGCATAACCCTGCTCTGTGCTTAAGAATCTCTCTTGTCAGGGCTCAGGAAACCATATATGGTGCTGGGGATTGAATCTGGGTTGATGAATGCAAGAAAAATACCTTACCGTCTGTTGTATCTCTTCGAAACAGGAAATGTGTACTTATACAGTAAAAATTACCAATCTGTACAGTTAATATGGGTGCATCATAGTAGTCTGCCCTGTTTTTTATAACTTGAGAAAAATTACTCTAACATAGACTGTCCAAGTAAAGGGTGCTGGGAGGACTTGCTCAGGTAGGGAGCTGCCGAAAATTGACTATAGACTGAACACGATGGCCACTTGATACCTCTATTGCAAACCACAATACCCAAAAGGAGAGAGAGAACAAAAGGGAATGCCCTGCCACAGATGCGGGTGGGGGGTGGTGTAGGAGGGATACTGGGATCATTGATGGTGGAGAATGGGCACTGGTGTAGAGATGGGTAACTGATCATTGTATGACTGAAACGCAAACATGAACATTTGTAAGTATGTAACATTATCTCACAGTGAGTCACTAATTAAAAAAATTAAAAAATAACATACACTGTCACAGAGCATTTTCCTTAAGTCATTTAAATTAAAATGGTTAAATCCAGATGGATTTCCATGTTAAACACATGTGCATATCTAAAATAATTAGCCATTGGGGCTGGAGTTATAACAGAGAGGGTAGGGTGTTTGCCTTGCATGTGGCTGACCCGGGTTGGATTCCCAGAATGCCATATAGTCCCCCGAGCACTGCCAGGAGTAATTCCTGAGTGCACAACCAGGAGTAACCCCTGAGTATCGCCGGGTGTGACCCCAAAAAGCAAAAATAAATAGATAAATAAATAAATAAACACTGTCAAAACACTGTCCTCCCGTTTTTCATCGATTTGCTCAAGCGGGCCCAGTAACGTCTCCATTGTGAGACTTCTTGTTACTGTGTTTGGCATATTGAATACTCTCGGTAGCTTGCCAGTCTCTCCCAGAGGGGCGGAGGAATCAAACCCGGCTTGGCCAGGCTGCCTGCATGCAAGGAAAATGCCCTACCGCTGTGCTATCACTCCAGCCCAAATAAATAAATGAATGAGTAAAATAAAAAATAAATAAATAAATTAGCCATGAGCACACCTGATTGGTTAGCATATGAAAATAGTTGGTGATTATGCAGTCATTCTTTTTGTTTATTTGTTTGTTTTTCCTCTAAAATTTCCATCTTTCACATTGTTCAGATTTGATTCCTTAACACTGGAAGCTCCAGGCCTCCCGGTTCACTTCTTTGAAAATCGAAAGCATATGACAGGAAAATTCTAGTGAACTCAACAAGCAATCTTGCTAATTCAAGATTACCACTCAAATCAAATGCCCAACCTGGCGGGAGTGGAGTGCCTGGAGTTCAAAGCCGATTTGCAGTCATTCTTTCATCCAAGCAGCTCAAAGCCTTTACAAGCCGATCTTACAGGTGGTTATTATAAACACTAAATGTCCAATTAAAAATATATTACTTAGCAGGAGGTTTACCTTTATGCAAAATTAATTTTAAGGAAAAATCTGAATACTGACCCCTGTATTTATCTTATTACTCTGCATCGTAGGAGGACCTTAGGGATTGCCAGAGAGTTGAGAACATCATGGAGACAGAATAATCCGGTGATTCACTGACTCATTCATTTCCTAGAGCTATGACCTTGGACCTTAGTTTAGGAATAACAGTTATGAGGATTAAATAAATTAGTAAGTTTATTGGGCTTAGTACAATATCCAACAGCAAGCATAGAAGAAATTCAGCTGTCATTGAGTATTCTTTTGAATATAGAAACACCCTCAGTAAATATCCTTTATGAATAATGACATATTTCACCTAAATTATAATATGATTTTATAGCATTTAACTCGGAAAAAATGGTTATAATAATCTTATTACACACATGTACATTGTGTCAGGGTGATAAATGAGGAGAATTACTCTAACTGATCTGTGGACATGTGAATAAGAGAAATTCGTAGGTATCTGCCATTGGATTTTGAGGAAATTTCTTATGTAGCATTATGTGTCAATAGTTAAGTAATACACTGTTGCTAAGGGTCTATAGCAGAGGTTTTTAAACTAAGGCCAATGGGCCAATTTGGGTAAATGAGCTAAGGATTATATATATGTATATATACATATACATATACATATACATATACATATACATATACATATACATATAGCTGGAGCAATAGCATAGTAGGTAGAGTGTTTGCCTTGCACGCAGCCAACCCAGTTGGCCCAGGTTCAATTCCTCCGCCCTTCTTGGAGAGTCCAGCAAGCTACCGAGAGTATCTCACCCACACAGAAAAGCCTGGCAAGCTACCCGTGACGTATTCAATATGCCAAACACAGTAACAAGAAGTCTCACAATGGAGATGTTACTGGGCCCGCTCAAGCAAATCAAAGAACAGCAGGAGGACAGTACAATGCAGTGCTACACATGCACATGTGTATATGTCTGTATATGTGTCTAGAAATATATATATATTTAAAAGAAAGGTATGCAAAATATAATAGAATATGAAAAACCCAAAAATGTTACTATGTTTCTATCTGGCTCTTTACAGAAAAAAGTTTGCTGATCTTTGATATAGACTTAAGAAGAAGCAAGATAGATTCTAATCACTACAATCCTATCTGTTTGACTGTCATCCTCAGTTGAACCTTCCATGTTGTTTCACAAATAAAAGACTGCATACTTTGCAGGGAGATTGTGTAGAAGGACAGGAAATTATAGGGGTAAATCGTTCCAGACTTGTATTTCTCTAACCATTTTACATAAATAATTCTGGTCATGAGTAAGCATGAGTCTTCACATGGAAAACCAGAGAACAGATAGGCAAAACTGCAGAAACTGGAATAACCTATGCACATACAACAGGGATTCTCAGCTCCTTAGTGTACTACATTTAGGTAATCATTATTCCTACCACCAGCTAGTGATTTTTCTCCTGCAAAACATTTCTTACATGTGGTCTTTCTTCTTTTAAATTTCCCCCCTTTTATTGTATCACTGAGATACACAGTTACAAAGTTGTTCATGATTTGGTTTCAGTCATATAGTGTTTCAACACCCAAACCTTCACCTGAGTACATATCCCACCACCAATGTCATATGTGGTCTTTCTTAATCTACTTTGGTAGTTCTGGTTCTCACTGGACAGTGGGATCCTAAAAAATATAGTGAAAAGAATTTCAATAGCAGATAGAGCATGTGGTATTATGTGCAGCTATTGTCATTTCTTGGACAGCTTTGGGTTAACAGGTAGACATGAGAACTAAAGCAGACATTCAGTAAGCAATAGCTTACTGAAAAGTGAACAATTTCTCTACCTAGATATCCATGTTAGGTGGTATAGCAATTATCTATTTATTATTAAACTACTGACGGAGAAATATATTTGAAGAAAGTAGTCTAATAATGGGCTGGAGCTATAGCATAGTGGTAGGGCGTTTGCCTTGCACGCAGCCAAACATGGCCGACCCGAGTTCGATTCCTCTGC